ATTATACAAATTGAGTAGAAACTGTCAATTGCCTATCCAATCAAATCCTCCCTTAGACCCTACACAAAGATCAAGTCCAGGTGGATTAAAGAACTGTGAAAATCAAAATTTTCATAAAACTTTCAGAAGAAAATATGACAAAATCTGTATTAACTCAGGGTAGAGAAAGCTTTCTTAAACAAGAAAAATAAAATCATGGGAGAAAGATGGTATCAGTAAATTAAAATTTTCTTAACAATAAAAGACATCAGAAACAAGTAAAAAGAAACAACAAACTGTGATACATATTTGCAATTCTCATAACCAACTAAATTAGTAGAAAATGTATATGAAACTCTAAAAATCAATAAGAAAAAATAATCCAATAGAATAAGTAAAAGTAATGAGCATGCAACTTACAGAAAATGGAATGACCAAGAAATATATGAAAAAATGCTCAACTTCATTAGCAATGAAATTGAAATTAAATGAAAACAATGCCCTATTTCACACCCATCAAACTGGTATAAATTTAAAAACCTGAAAATACCTAGTGTTGCTGAAAATGTGGAACAGGGTCTTCACTTCCTCTGCTGGTGGGAGTAAAATCTCCCACAAACAGAAGGGCAACTCTGCACTATCTACAGTTTTAATAACGAATTCCTCTTCAATATATATGATCCCTGGAGAATCACTTGTGAAGAAAATATGGATGAGAACTTTCACCTCAGTGTTGTCTGTAATGGCAAAAAACTGGAAAAAACTTTATGTCCATTAATGGGAGCATGGATAAAAAAATGTGGTATATTCATACAGTGGAATACCACATAGCTCTTAAAATTCAGGAACTAGAGCTACAAATACCAAAAAGATGATGAACAACCAGTAACAAACAACATGCAAAGAATGACACTACTTTTATGAAGTTTAAAAACAAGCAATACGTATAGTATACCCATATATATAGTATACACAGTTGACTCTTGAACAAAATGGATTTGAACTATATGGGTCCACTTAAATGCAAATTTTTTTCCCACCAACAATTTGAAAAAACTTGGAGCGAACCATATAGCCTAAAACAGACGACATAAATTTATGGTACCGATAAACATAACATAGTACTATAAATGTATTTTCTCTTCCTCATGATTTTTATAACAATTTCTTTTCTCTAGCTTACTTTACTGTAAGAATACAGTATGTAATACACATCATATACACAACATGTGTTAATCGACTGTTTACGTTATCAGTAGGCTATCAGTAGTAAAGTTCTGGGGGAGTTATATGAGGATTTCTGACTGTGCGGTGGGTCAGTGTCCCCAACCTCACATGGATCAAGGATCAACTGTATATTATAAAACAGTTTACAACTTTTTGGAGAGTGTTTAACTCTGAGAAGGGAGAAAAAAGATAAGATCAGATAGCTACTAAATATACCAGATAATTTCAACTGTATCTTGAATGTTTTCTTAAAAAAAAGAAAAAAAAGAAGCGTGGCAAAATTTTAGAACTTGACAGAGTTGGCTGAAAGGAATAGGATGTTATAAACCATATGTTAAAAATATTTCATAGTTTAAAAAAATAAAAAATACATTAATTAAAATTTGTATCTATCCAAATATATTAGGATTTTTGGTACCATGTAAGCAAAATATAAGGAAAAAATGGCTCTTAAGGCTAACATTCTCATCTACAACCAAAAATTTTTTTCATTTTAATTTTTTATAAAGGTTATAAGAACCTCGTTGTGTCTAACAACTGACCTAATAAGTATGCGAACATTATATATATGAACATAAAAAGTAAACTTATATTATCAAAGCAATATCAATATCTATTTTTATACTAAGGTTTCTTGTAAACTAAAATAAAAGCCCTAAGCTACCTTATTGTTAAGTTCTTTGAACACAACACAAGCCAAAGACACACCAATACAGGCCTAATTTCACTTGGAAAGTCTTTTTAAGAAAAAGTTCACACTTCAATCCACTGTCAGTTTCATAGAGGTATAATTTGAGCTCAGCTTTGTGGGCATAAGTAAGTGTATTTTTATGGAAAGAAATATCAAGGTTGTTGATAAAAGCAACAGTCTATCAGTGAATAGTAATTGGTAGAAGCAGAACCTGGCAAGAAAGACTGTCTCAACTGAGTAAAGAGAAAAAAGATATGCAAATAAGAACTGGAGCTAGGGAGCAGAACAGTCAGTCATGAGTCAGGAGCCAATGTAATAAGACTGGAAAAAGTGGTATAGAATATAAGGAAATTATATTCATTTTAACAATAACCACTTAATCTTCCTACTAGGCTCTGCCCTCATGTTTCACTTTTGCCTTGGAATCACCTAAGAGGCTGCACCAACCAGACCCCACATCAGGAACCCCAGAGTCCTCCTTTAAGACATGGGGCTGAGGCTAGGGGGAGCGGTGTGTATGTGTATTTTCTCTCTTTCTCTCAGGACAGCTTCAAAAAAAAATTTATTGAACAAAAAATAAATCCAGATTTTAAGGAATCCAATATTTAAAGAGCTCTGATGTTACCATACCTAGCATATCAATCAGGGTTTGTGGGTTCCACTTCTGAAAAAAATAGGTACTTGTCAGAGTTTCTTAACTCCTAGCTTTTGGCTTGCTTCCATTTGACGAGTTGTATACTATCAACTTATAAGTGCCTTTCTAGACACCTTGACCCACTACAGCTTTTTCTCAAGCTTGAGAAAAGGGTTTCTCCTCCACATGAATGATGTCAGGAAGATTTCTCAGACTCTGGTGAGACTGCACTCACCAAAAAAAGAGGTAGTTTCATCTTTAAAGGCTCTTAATTATAAAATGATCATTGCACACATATAGTAATAGATAAGGTTCTTTCCTGCAGATAGAAGGGATGTCAAAAAGCAGGAAAGAGAGAGATAGAACAGTGTCAACACCTTTACAAGAAAGTTTCTGCCTGAAGGTCTCTGTCTTCTCTTGAGGGAAGAAGACCATTTTAAATAAAGGAAAAATATAAAACATCTCGTGTATTTCTAGTACTATATTTATCTCACTATAGGACAACCATCTTTTTATATGTGTATGTATCCTCCATTAGAATGAGTTCCTTAAGGGCAGGAATTTAGTATACTTATTAAAATTTTGGGTCCCCACAACTTAACGCAATGTCTGAGACACATTCAATGCATGTTTGTTGAATGAGAGGTGAACCAAGGTGTGACAAAAAAGAAACAACGGTAAAAATCTGACTGCGGCAAAGAGAGTAGGTGAAAAAGACAATGACACGGCAAAGGAACATTACTGCAGACATCTCAAGTTAAATGACTTGCTTGCATTACTTGACTATTTCAAATTAAAAGGAGCTTTGAGTTCTGAAAAATGCAATATATAATTTTTCTTCTATGGTAAAGGTTTAAGGCCAATTTGAACTCCTTAGTATTTCATTCTCCTTTTTCTATTAATTCCATTCACTTGTCTAAAAAACTTTACAGATAGGCTTCAATCAAACTTGCTCTTTTACCATTAAACTGCCTTTTGAATACTGACTTCACTCATACTTGAATTAAATAAGTACTTGAAGCTTTGGTGAATGGCAATGGCCATGAAGTAACCTACACACAGTAATATTTTTTGTCTTTTACTACAGTGATACCAAATTGTGATCCACTAAATCAAGCAGGGACCTCAGGAGTCACTGAAAATCTAGAAAGGCAAAACAGGCAGAGCAACTCCGCCTACTTCTAGAAGTTTTCAATGAGAAAACAATGGGCTTCTGGGAAAACCTTTCCCTTGAAGAAAGAGTTCCATAGTTTTTTAAGTTTGGAAATAATGTCTTATTCTATGTTGCCCTGTTTTATTTCACTAAGACAAAATTAAAGTCTTCATACTAGCAATAAAAAGTACAGGTCTCATTGCCACAAAACAAGACACTATAAGGTATTCCAAAAACAGAGGCTGTGGGCCTCAATGTGAAGCTTCCTAGATTTATGACAGTCACCTGTGTTAAACTATCAAGGAAAAAAGTTGAATAAAATTATGACAATACATATTTGAAGGCTATCTAGGGTCAAGATATAATTATAAAAATTTTTAGCTCTCTAGGAATAGAAGGTATCATATCATATTTAACTTTTAAACATGCTTTTGGGATCACATGTCAAAATAGGGCACTTTCTAGAATCTTCTCATAATTAGAATATTGTAACTATGAAACAGATGGCTCACTACTATGATATGCGTACCGTGTGTGACTCTGGTAATTTTCAGCCATTCATTTTTTCATTCCACTAAGTCCTAAAACTCTGTCTAGGGTTCTGTTAACTACTACTACAAAAATATGTACTTAGTCATTTAGGTTTACTGTTATTCAAATGCCCAAACTAAGTTCTCTCATCCTATCCACGTTTTTCCCACTCCATAGTCTGAGACACTGGCGCCCTTACAACCCCAACAAATAAAATATTAATTGTTCTGAACTGTTTTGAGATCTTAGGGTTTTCCTTTTTACACTCTAAGCCAGAACATCTTGTAGCACTTGCACCATTCGCGGATAGAGAGTAAAACTTCCAACCTGAAGCTCTGCTATCAGGGCTTGGATAACAGTGAAATAGGTTCCTCCTATTGAATGAGGCAAGTCAAGGTCTCTAGTGTTGGGCTGCCCTAGACAGCAGGGTCTCTACCGCTACATTTACCAAAGGGGTAAGGGGTGCTTAACCAGCTCCAGAGGGAGCAGGAAGTTTGTATCATCAACCCCGCAATTGCTTAATTAGTCCAGTCTCCAGCAAGCCCCAGGTTCTTCTACCCCATTCCTGCGCTTAGCGAGTGGAATGGCTTTCTTTCGGAGTCCTCAACCTCAGGTGGGCAGGGAGCATTCTCCAGGCCGCTAGCGATGAGCCTAGGTTACCCACCCGCTGGAGAGGCAGCGGCGCCGCCCCCTTTCTCTCTCTTCGGCTTTCCAGTCCCCGGAGTCGCCACCGCCCACTTTCTAGCACGACGAACAGCAACTTGGGCCCGGGAACCAGCACTTACCCACGTCTTGCTCGAAGGGGTTGGCGGTGAACAGAGGCATCTTACCGACGCCCGAGCCCTAGTCGCTGCGGTCTGGCTGAGGATGGGCGGCTGCTCTGGGTTTGGTGACCCGCGGCCGCGGCTTCCTAGACGGCTCGGCTCCGACCGCGTCCTGGCACTTCCGCCACCGCACTTGCCCGATTCCTGCCTGACGGGCCAGCTCCGGGCTCGCGCTCCGCCCCCGCGCTCCGCGGGCGATTCACCTCCAAGGCTGAGGTCCTACCAGCCGTAGGCATCCTGTCAGCGCCCCTGTCGCCGCTGTTCGTGGGGAGGAGGCGGCAGCCCTGGTCCCAGGACCCCTATGGGTCAGGCGACTGCCGCTGCCACCTTTCCATCGATAGGACCCCAGCAAGTCGGAACGGGGACCTTCCGGGCCGGAAGTTGTCGCGCCCAGAACTGGGCGACGCCAGAACCCCGGAAACAAGGCCGGTGGTAGCATTGAAGGGCCTTGGTCTTCTGGGATTTCTGCATGGGGCTGCCGGTGCAGGCGGCTAAGTTTTTGCTCATTTAATTGGTTTCTAATCTGCAGGCTGGTCCTTTGAGGTGGCCGTGGATCCGCGACTGTGGTCACGTCACAGTTCTGTTGCCCTGGATACAGATGGAACCTCCGCCCAGAGGTGGCTTTGAGAGTGTGTAGAGGGTTTAGCTCTTTTCTTGAGCGCTTATGGTGTTGCATTGCCCCTGGTGCCTAAACACCACAAAAATAACCACAGTAACTTTGGCTCTATGGGGAGTAACTTTGCTTCCTATCCTGTGGTGGACCTGAAAACACTGCTGGACTCTCGGAGCGGGAAGAGGAATTAGACACACTTCCTGCCTTGATGTCGCTGACAGTTTTATAGGGGCAGCGTATAGCATATTCATGACACACACACCCCTTATCCTTATCCCAGGGGGGGGATGTGTTCTAAGACTGCCCCCCAATACCTGAAACCTTGGCTAGTATTTATGTTTTTAACTATATACACACCTATGATAAAGTTTAACTTAGAATAGTAAGAGAATAATAAAATTGAACAATTATTATAATATACTGAAATAAAAGTTAAGTGAATTGATTTGGGCCATTAAGTAAAATAAGGGTCACTTGAACACAAGCACTGTGGTAGCACAAGTCTGTCTAATAACCCAGGGCTACAAAGTGCCTAACCGGGCAGAGGAGTCGGAGTGGAAGTTAGTTCATACAGATTGGGTGTGCTGGAGAAAGGGATAATTCAAATTTCAGCTTCTTGGAGCAGGGTGACTTGACTCAGAATGGCTAGGAATTTAAAACTTATGAGTTGTTTATTTCTGGAATTTTCTATTTAATATTTTTGGACCATGATTAACCCAGTATTATTGAAACCACAGAAAGTGAAACCACAAATAAGGGCGGACTACTGTATAGCCAGGAGTCACAACTCGAATTCCATTGGATCCAGCCAAGTATCTGAATGTAAAAGGGCAAGGACACTACCTACCCACACACTCCCTATCCCTCATAGCCCTGCTTTATTTTTCCATAGCATTTATTACTTCCTAATGTATAACGTACTTATTATGTTTTCTGTCCTCTTTCAAATATAGATTTCATGATCAGTTTCGTTCACTGCTGTAGCCCCAGCACCCAAAACTGTGTCCAGCAAGTAGTAGGTGCTCAAAAAAATACTTTTCAAATGTAGCCTAACTGGAGGGTGTGTCTCTAAGGATTATAGCTACTAGTAAACTTTAGCCATTTATCGAAGTGTGGGCCCTACTAGAGCTTCCAATTTTAAAATGATTTTTAAATGTTAAGAATTACTTCAACTAACAGTGGGCCAAACAAAAACATTTTACAGCCACTGGTAGACATGCTACATAGAAGAGAGAGTCCTTACACGATGAATAATTCAGGAAAATGGTTTCATTTTATGCTAGAATGATAGGTGCACAAATAAGACAAACATTTGCAGATGAAAGGAGCTGGTTTTCAAAAAAAAGAAAACATTGAACCTGGGATGTTCAAAATATGTTTGGAGACTTTCAAGATGGATTTGTCTAGGCTTAAAGCTTAGCGTTGGAATGGAAAACAAGGCCAGCTAGAGATAAGAGGAAACAATGGCAAGAGCCCTAAGAGCAAGCTAAGTTTTTAAAAAAAATTTTAGCATATAAGACACTAATCGTTTAAAGATTTCGAGCAGCAGAACAGTTTGCTAAAAAGGGTTTCCGGATATCAATCTGATCCAGGCAGAACAGTTTAGGAGGCTATCGCACTTGAAAGCCATAAGAAAAGATATCGTGTAAGGAGCTTGTATTGAGATAAGAGCAATAAGAGCTTGTATTGAGATTAGAGCAAAGAGTTGAGGATTAGCCTTTGGAAATCACTTACATTTTAAAGAGACTCCTTTAGCTCCTCCTCATCTTTAATGGCAAACACTCAAGAATCTATAGGTATTTTGCTTTCTGTGTGTGTGCTCAGTCTCTTGGTGAGTTCTTCCCATTAACAAAATTTTTAATAGTAAGAACCAAATCGTGTGTTAGAAACAAGATACAAGGATTGCTCATTGTTACTTCACCTAATGAGATTTTAAAAATTAAAAGATATGTCAGTGGCAGCCCACAAATTCTAGTGTGCAAAGAAATGCAAATTTTTCATTTTTCTGTAATACAACCTCTTCTGAGCTTCTGTCTACCTGATAACAGAAAATAATCTCAAATTTAGTTAAATTCAGTTTCTTTGGGATTTTCTTGGTTATTTTGGGTTTACATTCAACAAATCTATGATATACTTACCTCAGACCACTTTCCCCAAACATACTCCAAGAATTGTTCTTTCAATTCCGCCTGTACATATTTGGTGAACAATCCTTTTTATTCCAAAACAGGGACAGTGCTTCCCTAGTCAGGCCATGATGAAACGACCCTAGTTATTGGTCTGAAAATATTGAAGGTGGTTGTGGCAAATCTTGAGAAAGAAGCACCTGGGAAGGCATCTTCCTCCAGTGAGACTTCTGCATGGTCTTCAGGCAAGGGGAGGTCGCTATCCTCTAGCAAGAGCAAGAGGATTGAGATCAATCTATCAACTCAGAGCTCTCGAGAGGATCCACCCAGATATCCCCATCCTAAGTCTCAGGGACTCATTCTTTCCTTTTCAGGGCCCCGAGTTTAGTATAGGAGACATATTATGGGTTATGAATTCAACCTTATATTAAATTCTGCTTCTCACAGTCAGGTCCTGAGTCTAATTTTTGTTTAAAACCACAATCTCCCTCTGGCTACAGTAAATAAAGTGTGTTCCTCCCCACCCCCCTTCATTTTTCTCTTTGTCTTTCACTTTGGATAATTTCTCTTAGAATAAGTTATGTTATTTTTCATGAATTTCTAAAGCATTTGGTTTGAGTGTTTTTTTTTTTAATGTTTTATTTTGGAATTTAGATTTACAAAAAAGTTACAAAGATAGTATATAGAGTTCTTATTTACCCCTCGCCCTGTTTCTCCCATTGTTAACATCTTGCATTTCCATGGTACATTTGTCTAAACTAAGAAACAAACATAAATTCAATATTATTAACTAAACTCAAGACTTTATTTTAATTTTACCAATGTTTATATTAATGTTCTCTTTTTTTCCAGGAACCAATCTAGGTGTGTCGGGAATCCTCAAGACCACTCTCAGATTCAATGATTTACTAGGAATCAGAATTCAGCATATAGTCATCCTCATGACTATGATTTATTATATGAAAGGAAACAAAAAAAAATCAGCAAAGGGAAATGGCACATGGGGTGAAATCTGGAGGCGCATGCTTCCAAGAGTTCTCTCAGTGGAGTCACATAGGACGTGCTTAATTCCTCCAGCAATGAGTTGTGACAACACGTGTGAAATATCTACCAGGTAAGCTTATTGCAGATTCAATGTCTAAGGTTTTTTATTGGGTGCTGGTCATACAGGCACCTCTACCTAACATGCACCCAAATTTGCAGACTCTCAGAAAGAAACAGGTGTTTAGCATAAACTACATACCTTATACAGCTTAGGTACCATGAGCCATTCTTATTGGGGAATTGTGAGAACTCTTAAAATCTAGATTCCCAGATGCCAGTCAAGGGCCAAACTTGCAAGGCTTTTACAAAGATAGCAGCCTCAGGCCTGCTATGTTGAATCTTTTCTGCATACCAGGGTACCATATTTCATTTAGTTGTCATGTCTCCCTAATCTCCTCTGATTTGTGTCAGCTTCTTAGTCTTTCCTTGTTTTTCATGACCTTGACATCTTGAGGAGTACTGAGCAGATTTCCCGTAGACTGTTCCTGAATCTAAGTTTGTCTGATGGTTTTTTCATGCTTAGATGGGGTTATGGGATTTTGGAAAGAATACCAGAGGTGAAGTGTACTCATCACATCATGGCAGGGTACATGATATCCACATTATATCTGATGAGGGTAACTTTCAGCACTTGGCAAATGTAGCAAGTTCCTCCACTTTAAAGTTAATATTTTTCCCTTTTCCTACTCTATTCGTATAAGGCAGGTCATCGAGTCTAGCCTACCCTCAAGGAGAAGAGAGAGAATTAAGCTTCACCTTCTATGGGGTAGGGGATATCTAAATATATTATTGGAATTCTTCTACAAGGAAAATTTGTCCCATCTCTCCTATTTACATATTTATTAAATTGTTTATTTATATCAGTATGAATTCGTGCATATTTATTTTATACTTTTATACATTTGTTGTTTGTTTATGTTCAAATTGTTTCAGTTTGGGCCACTGGGACCAAAAGTCAGCTCTTTTGGTTGAGTTCTGTGTCCCTTTGATGTGTCCCTATCCCCGCGCCCTTTTTTTGAACATTTCTTTACTTTCCGTTACTACAAGATGCTCCACTCTCATCTTGTATATTCTCTGTCCCAGTCTTAGAATCGAAAGAACCCTGATTCTGAAGGTCTTTTTAAAGGCTGCCATAGAAGATTTCTAACTTTCATGATGTACCTTGAGTAAATAGTTGGCTAATCTGATATTTTCATTTCTTTCCTGCAGTACATTAATAGTAATTAACAAGAACTAACTGATTCCACAATCCTTACAATTGTCTTTATCTCTCTCAAATACTAGAACTATCAATACTAGTCCATGCCTTTCTACCTGTACCCAACGCCAATTTATCATGGTGTTAATAATTGCAATGCTACAGAAGTAGTTCTCAAAATTTGTCATCCTCCACAAGTGTTTCCCAGATTTACCCCTTCCCCTCTTAGGTGAGACAGGAAGGCTAGAGGGGGCTAGAGTTGGGTATTTTCCTTTCCCCAGGTTAGTAAGGCTCAGGCACAACCCTAGTTGGTTAGGCTCTGGTAAAGTAATTTCTCTTGAGATCAGGCCTCATTAAG